TCAAATCTGTTCAGCTCAAATCAGTTCAGCTAACTTGCACCCCCACTCAGATAATCCCAAACCAGTGATTTGCCCCTCTAAGCTTCCTTGATGATGAGAAAATATTGCAGGTCACAGGGAGGGGAAAGTTAACCATTCCCTCCCCCTCTGAGAATGCCCTTGAAATCCGCCTTTGCATGGCAATGAAGCAGAACCACGTACATACATACCCTCTTGGTACGTATTAATACTCAGGGTGCCGTAGGATAGACTTGGAGCCTTGTGAAACAGATTCAGGGCCAGCCAGTCTTCCATGCACTTAGGTTTAGCAGCACCTCTATCCTGGGGGACCCTCGGATGGGGAGGAGGTAAAACCTTTCCCCTGTGCTGTGCCCCCCATGCTTAAATCACCACCCAAGATGCTGCTGCCCCAGGGGAAAAAGAAGCCACAGGTATGCCGTGCCACGTGAAATATGTCTGCCCATTCCCTTATGGAGGACACGTGGTCCATATGTGGAGAACTCTCGGGGCACATTTCCCCAGCCTAAATCCTAAATCCTCAGGCTGGGGAGGGCTCGGGGGGAAGACTCAAATCCCAGAAACCTGTGTTCAAGCCCCTATGCCTGTCCCGTGCTGCATTGGTAACAATTAATTGTCTTACACAAGCAAGCATTGTTTCGGGCTATAAGCAGCGAGAGGGATTCACACAAAGCAGCCACTTAGCGGGCAAACCACACCGCCTGTTGGGTGCCAGACTCCCATGGCTAGCCTGACGGAAGATCAGCCTCACTGGGCTTGCTGGCCTCTCTCCCACACCTCTTTCCCTCGCATTCCCCCAGCGAGATTCCAGGGGACACCATGGGGACGGATAAGATTCCTCATTTCCCCGTGGATAGTCACCCCGCCAGGCTGTTCATTCCCTAAATTGGGGCAAAGAGGACAAGGATGCTGGTCAGGCACCCGCACCTCCTGCTCCAGAGGAGATACCCGGAGCAGGAAGTGGAGGGCCCGATTCACTCCACTCTGCTGCCCCATTCTCAGGACAGCCCCTCTATGCAGATCACCCTGAGAACCTTACTCCTAGGTAGGAGCTGGGGAAAGAGTGGAGAGACCTGCTGGGTGGTGCTTCCCCTTTCTTAGGGCTTTTCCCACCAAGCCGATTTCCAGTTTGTTTGTTTGTTTGTTTGGAGTGCTTGTATGCCACCCCATTCGCATAAGCCTCAGGGCTGCTTCCAACAAATAAATAACAATATACAAAAATATACAGAATTGGAAACATCCCGGAGATAGATAAAAGCAATAAATAATTTAACAATCAATTAAAATAACATTTAAATAAAAAGGTCTTGGCCTGGTGCCGAAAAGCAAATAATGACGGCGCCAGGTGGACCTCTCTGGGGAGCACATTCCATAGGTGGGGAGCCACTGCAGAGAAGGACCTCCTCCAGGTGCTCACCCACCTAATTTCCTTCACTGAGGGCTCCCGGAGAAGGGCCTCCGCCGCTGATCTTAGAGGGTGGGAGGGCAAGTATGGACGGAGGTGCTCCTTCATGTACCCAGGTCCCAAGCTGTTTAGTGCTTTATAGGTAAGCACCAGCACCTTGAATTGGGCCCGGACTTGAATGGGGAGCCAGTGAAGCTGACGAAGGACTGGGGTTATATGAAAACAATGCCCAGTCCCCATCAGCAACTTGGCAGCTCTATTTTGCACCAATTGAAGTATCTGGACCGTCTTCAGGGGTAGCCTCATGTAGAGCGCGTTGCAGAAGTCTAATCGGGAAGTGACCAATGCTTGCATCACTGTCACCAGGCAATCGTCCTCCAGGTAGGGACGCAGCCAATGGATCAGCCGAAGCTGATGGAAAGCGCTCCTCACCACGGCCGACACTTGAGCTTCCAAGGTCAGCTTCGGGTCAAGGAGCACCCCCAACCTGTGGACCCTGTCCTTCAGAGGGAGTGCTACCCCATTCAGGACAAGGTCCAGGTCCCCCAGCCCAGAGTCCGAACCACCCAGCAACAGGACCTCCGTCTTGTCTGGATTGAGCTTCAGTTTATTGGCCCTCATCCAGCCCATTACCTCGGCCAGGCACCGGTTCAGTACAGCCACTGCCTCACCTGGATTGGTGGAAAACGAGAGGTAGAGCTGGGTATCGTCAGCGTACTGATGATTCCGCAGCCCACACCTCCTGATGACCTCTCCCAGGGGTTTCATGTAGATGTTAAACAGCAAAGGGGACAAAATGGACCCCTGCAGTACTCCATGGCATAGCTGCCATGGCGCAGAGCCATAGTCCCCCAGCACCACCTTCTGAAATTGGCCGTTGAGATAGGAGCGGAACCACTGCAAAGCAGTGCCTCCGACCCCCAATCCCGCTAGCCTATCCAGAAGGATACCATGGTCGATGGTATCGAAAGCCGCTGAGAGGTCCAGGAGAACCAACAGGGACGTACTCCCCCTGTCTCTCTCCCTGCACAGGTCATCGTACAGGGCGACCAAGGCAGATTCAGTACCATAACCGGGTCTGAAGCTGGACTGAAATGGGTCCAGATAATCAGTTTCATCCAAGAGTGCTTGGAGTTGTCCCGCCACCACCCGCTCTAACACCTTGCCCAAGAACGGGATGTTGGCCACCGGTCTATAATTGGTGGCCATCTCTGGATCCAGGGATGCCTTCTTCAGGACTGGCCGGACTACTGCTTCCTTTAAAGGGACAGGTACCCGGCCATCCCTCAGAGAGGCGTTGACAACCTCCAGGATCCAGGTCCGTATCCCATCCTTGAGTAACCAAGATGGGTAAGGGTCCAGTAAGCAGGTGGTAGGATGTACTTGGACGTACTTTGTCCACATCATCAGGCTGCAATAACTGAAACTCATCCATCAATTGTGGACCAGACGGCAACATTGGTTCCTCCCCTGAAGGCTCTGAGTTACTAGTGGAGTCCAGCTTGTGACAAATCTGAGCAATTTTCGCCTTAAAATGCTTGGCAAAGTCATCACAGCGGGCCGTTGAGGGTGGTACCGGATCTTTTTTAGGGCCCGGATGAACCAGCCCATGTACCACTCGAAAAAGCTCCACCGGACGGCATTGTGAGGAGGCAATGGAAGCGGAAAAAAATCTCTTTTTTGCCGCCCTCACCACCACAGCATAGGCCCGATAATGGGCTCTCAAGTGTGTTCGGTCAGATTCATCCCGTGATCTCCTCCACCTACGCTCTAGCCGTCTCCCAACCTGCTTCGTCGCCCGCAATTCAGGTGTATACCAAGGGGATGAATGGGCTCTGCCTGGTGGGAGAGGACGCTTAGGAGCAATCGTGTCAATAGCCCCATTCATTTCCCCATTCCACAGTTCGACCAGAGCTTCGACAGGAGCACCAGCCTTGTCAACTGGAAATTCCCCCAGGGCCTTCAGGAAACCATCTGGATCTATCTGACTCCGGGGGCGGACCCACACAATCAGGTCCACACCCTTGCAGAGGGAGAGGTCGCTCTCGAGCTCAAACCTCATGAGGAAGTGATCTGACCATGACAGGGGAGTCAGACATAAATTCCTCACCCTCAGATCCCTCTCTTCCTGCCCCATTGAGAAAACCAGGTCCAGAGTGTGTCCACGTTCATGGGTTGGGCCTATGACATGTTGAGACAGCTCCATGGCCATCATGGAGGCCATGAAGTCCTGAGGCGCCCTGGACAGAACAGTCTTGGCATGGAGATTGAAGTCCCCCAGGACCAACATCCTGGGGGTCTTCAACACCAGGTCTGGGACGATCTCCATCAGCTCAGGCAGGGAGTCTGTTGGGCAGAAGAGTGCATGGTACACCAACAGAATCCCCAATCTGTCTCGGTCACCCAACACCAAGTAGAAGCACTCTAGACCCAGCCTCAAGAGAACAGGAAGCCCCGTGAGGGAGATGGAAGCTCGGTAAACCAAAGCGACCCCCCTCCCCTCCCCTCCAGGCATGGTCAGTGCTGGACCAGATACCCAGGAGGGCACAGTTGAGAGAGGGAGATGTCCCCCCCCTCACCCGCCCAGGTCTCTGTGATGCAAGCCAGGTCGGCCCCCTCAGCTACAATCAGATCATGGATGAGGGGCGATTTATTATGGACCGACCTGGCATTAAGCAGCAGCACCGACAGGCCTGGAGGGCGGTTGATAAGGCTACCTGGAACCTTCTGGCTGGGGGAATTACCAGAAGGGGGAACAGGTGTCAACCATCTGTCCCTCCTTCTTCTGCAATGACTCGTTAAACCCCCATCGCCATAACGTCCCTTACCCATAACCACACCAATGGCGGCGCCCACACGCTCCCCAGGCAAGCTCATAATCATGGCCAAGGATGGATCCGTTAAATCTCACCTCTTGTCCGAGAGCAGAACTCTGGGGCAGGAGCGGGGACAAAAGAGGAGACAACTTCGGCACTCTCAGGCTTGCAGCTTAGCAAAAGCGGCCACCATGGGGACTGGCTCACTTGTTTTGAAGCCAGGGAGAAAACCTAGATCAGACTACTGGATCTTACCGTGGTTGATGACCATGGTAAGTCAGAGTGGTCGCTCATCTCTACTGAGTTTGGACAGCCCAACAAGGAAACAACAGTCGAAAAAAGCCACTGTTTCCTGTCCTTTCATGCAAACCCAGTTCTGTGTTACACAAAACCTGCCCAGACTGGTTGTCTCTGATGGCAAGATGATGCTTTCTCTGAGCCCTTTACGCCTCTCTGCTGCACCTCCCTGTTCTTCTGATGCCTAACTCCTGGGCTGCGTGTTCCCAGCTCCTTCCCCTCTGCATAAGCAGCCTGCATTCCTGCTGGTTCAGAGCTCCCAGCCTGGCTGTCCTCCAAAAGATAAAACATCAGCAAGATTTTCTCCTCCTGCCCCTCTCCGGTTCTCCCTGATCTCCACTCCCACCCCGCTGGCATCTCCACACCTCCACTTTCCTCCTGCTCCTCGTCTAACTCAGGATTAATTCCTGTAAGAGAACATACTAATATGTTATAAGTCAGTAGACAGGGATCAGCCAAACACATGCAACCACTGCTATAGAGCTTTTATTTTCTTAAATGCAAACGCTTTCCCTTTTTCTCTTTGCTTCTTTTCCAACGGTGCAGTCTGGTTGGTGTTGTATTGCTCAATTACAAATCAATCAATCAATCCCGATATCTTCTTGCAGCACTTCTGCAGAAGTGTTGGGCCCAATCGCTACAACTCCGCCATCGGTAGGTGATGGTGAGACCGTCGCGTTCTCTGGACCTCTGCTACCTCGCTGGATTGTTGTGCGGGGAAAGTCAGGGGAAGCCATGATTTGCAACACCCTGAGCTCTCTGGGGGATAAAAATGCAATAAGGAAATCATTCCAATGCATAATGAGAGGAGATGGATTCCCACCCGAAGCACTTTTTCTCTTTTTCTCCCCAGTCCAGATCATCTCTGTGTTCAGAGCCAGGCTGCACAGTGGGGAGAGACTTTCAATAGGTCTGTAGTCCATGCGGAGATAAGGCAGGAAAGGTTTTGACACAAACTCTGGAGTCTTCCTTTGAATGCCAGCTCTTGAGGGTGGCCACAAAGGGGTGGGCCTTCTTTGTGGTGGCCCCACATCTCTAGAACAACCTCCCCACTGCATCCCAGTTGGTGCCAAATCTGTCATTTCTTCAGTGACAGGTTAAAATAGCCCTCTTTTCCGAGGCCACAGACTTACTTTTCTGGTTTTCTGGTTCTTGGGTCATTTTCTTCTCTGTTTTTTATGGATTGGAGAGCATGTTCCAGAGATGGGGGCAACCACTGAGAAGGCCCTTTTCCTGAATGTCTCCCCCACTTACTTCTTCAAGGGGTGGTTCTTGGAGAAGGACCTCTGTAGAAGATCTTAGGGACCAGGTAGGAAAATAATGTTCTGTGAACAGTGATTTGGGGTATCTTAACGGGCAATTAAGCTTGATTAAAAAGCAGCTCCTGGTGATGATGAAAACTGCCAGAAGTGGTTGTGGATATGACTCAACTCAAGTGCCTGAATCCTTGGAGTCTTTTTGCAGGGTGAAGCTATGACAAGTATTCCAAGCCCTACAGTTCGAAAGTTGCCACTGGATGGGCTGCATAGGGGGCAGCAGGGGTGAAGGTGCAGAATCTTCCAAGAAAAAGAAGACCTGGGACAGAGCAGTGAGATCTCGCTATATCATGATAAAAGAATCAACAGGTAAGAAGGGGACAAGGCCAAAGAAATGAAGGTTTGACTCTGATGCAGTAATTAAGTTGAAGACTGCAAATGCCGTTATCTTACAAGATAGTGACGCTGGACTACAAGCTAAAGGAACAAATATCATTCTGGTCTCAGGAGACCAAATAAGACATAAGGTTGTTTTTAATCTTTCCTCTGCCGTGTTTTCCCAGATAAAACCTTGCCCCTCCCCAAAGCTGTTATTTGCTCTGTAGGGGGGAAAATCCAGCTATCTTACAGAAACCTGTTATGTTCTTCTCTATGGGGTGGATAGCAGCTGGAACGTGGGATCCTAGTTGGGAAATGCGCAGGAAGAGCTAGTTGTGTTGAGCCAGTGCATCACAGAGGAAGTGGGAAGGTAAGCCTAGCAGACTGCAGCCACCCTGATGGATTTCGTGGACCTGAGCAGCAGGGAAAAGTTGGCCAGACTCCCCTGGGCTGCGTAAGAGTTACAGGCTGTCCACCCTGCACTGCAGCCACCTATCTGGTGCCCTTCAAGGGACTACAACTCCCATCACCCGTAAGTCAGCAGAACTATTTCCCAGGGCCATTAAGATCATTCAGCCCCCTATCCTAATTGCTCTATTAACCCTTCCTGTCAATCTTACAACCATTGAACTACAGAGTTAGAAGGGACCCTAAAAGACCATCCAGTCCAGCCCTCATTCCCATTAAAAAAAAATTCCCAAGGGGTTATGTAGTGCTGTGGAATCTCGTCATCACATTGAGGAGCTGTTTTAACACAGGCAGAGCTGTTTCATGTCTCAACACAATCGGGGTTGTATTGTTTTTTTCAGTCCCTGAACATTATGCAAATGTGCCTCTCGTTTATTAAAATTATTGCTATTTAAATATGTATTTGTCTTTCGGCGCCAGGCGAAGACCTTTTTATTTAAGCAGTATTTTAAATGTTAATATTATTGAATTTTATTTGGCCAGGGCGGCTTGTTTTATATTGTATGTTTTATATTATATATTTGTATTTTAATGTATATATTTTAAAATGTTATTTTAATTTATTGTTGTAAGCCGTCCCGAGGCTTCGGCGAATGGGGCGGCATAAAAATGTTTTGATAAATAAATAAATAAATAAATAAATAAATATTGTCAGTGAAAGACACAAGGGGGCTGGTCTTCGCTCACTAGCCTAATCAAACACAACAAAAATGAGAGGGAAGCATGAACTTTATTCTCGAGAATAGTGCGATCACCAGTAAAAGGGCAATCGACTCAGAGCACACCCTTTTATACCCTTCCTGACCAGGTGGTGAGGATGGAGGTTCATTGGTTCGAAATTCCTGCCGTGGATGCTAATTGGTTCATTTGAATCCAGGTGGTTCCTGGGCTCAACCGGGAGACTGGGGCTCCGAGCCCTGGTGAGGAATCGCTCAGCCCCTGTCTGCGTGGCCTCACTCCAGTTTCACTGAGATACCTGGCGATGTGGCCAGCCTGCTGGGTTTAATGCTGGCCAGCCAGGTATGTCCCACACCAGTCTTTCACAGGAGCACTCCTACAACTGTCCCACATATGCAGTCTTTCCCGGTCACTTTTCCTGTCTCTTTCATCCATCAAAGGGAGCCGTAAAGAGCAGCAGGTAGCAGAAGAGGAAACTGACAAGCCGGGGCTGCATCCGTACTCATCTGCGCACAGTCACCAGGATCCTGTTGCCAAGTTGTCCGTTAGAAAGCACTGATAAAAGGGGGAAAGTAGCCAGAGAAGGTGCAAACACTGAGGACACACACACAATATCTTAATCTTAGCAATGCAAGTCTCCTGTTTTTAAGGGTTGAATTGGTAGCTCTCCTTGCCCCTTTGTGTTTTGCACGTTCTTCTGAGTCTCCAGCTATTCCAGAAAAGGGAGACATTAGTTGTTTTCCAGGGATTGTGATCTCTCCAAAGGGACAAAATCCTGGGTGAGTGAAAAAGGTCTAACGATCGTGGTGAAGGGTTGTTGCTATGCATGGTCAAGTTGCCTCTGAGTTATAGTGATCCTCTAAATGAACACCCCTCCGCCCCAGAATGTCCTGCCCATGACAGACCTGCTTAGCTTTTCTAAAGCCCAGGCGGTGGCTTCCTTCTTGGAGTCAACCCACCTCTTATTTGGTCTTCCTCTTCTTCTGCCTTTGACTTTCCTGAGCATGATGGAGCCAGCTGGAGCCAGGGGTCAGACTAGATGGCCTAGGAGACCCCTTCTGACTCACTATGTTTCTCCAGGGAGTCTCCAGGGGTGGGGATGGTGAACAGACCAGTCATTCCTTCCTCAAAGTCCCCTGGGATATCTTTGGGAGCATAGAGGGTGAAAGAAGAGGAGGAAGGAAGGTGAACAACCTATGGTGATCATCTGTTGGGCTAGCCATGGATTGTTTGCCCAACAACCACCCCATCTTGGTTTATTGCCTGGGCAGGATGTCACAATGTGCTAAATTGCTCCCTTAGACCTCCTCTTGGTATTTCCCCGGACAAGGCATGATTCCGCAGCACTACATCTCTTCCCCCTCTGGGATAAAATGCCATGACAAGCGGACTAAAATGCTCCGTTTACTGCAAAGATCCCCCTTTTAGAGCCTCGAAGGCACAAATATCCCGTCTTCAAGCGGATTGGTCACACGTTCTGCACTCTGCACACATTTCGCCTGCTTATCTGATGAGCAGCTGATTGCAAGATTGTACAGCACTGCCAGCAACCCTGCAAACAGGACACGTCCGCGTGCTGCAAAGCCCTCTGGTGGAAAAAGCGAGAGGTTTGTGCATGCGCATGTTACGGCCCTCAAGGGAGGAGATGACCGTTTCCCTAATCGTTTGTCTACTTAACACCAAAAGATATTTCTTGAATACAGTCGTTGGTCAGGAGGGGCTTGCTGACCAGGTGATCAACATGGTGGTGTTTTGAGTGTGTATAAACATCTATGAACAGGGTGTGTGCCAATGTGTACAAATTGGCGTGAATGGGTATTTAAGGCTGAGTGTGTAGGTGCACGTTTGGAAAGTACAAACATACCAAAATATGTACATATAATTTCAGGATAAACGCAGTGTATCTCCTCTCTGCGTTCCTTGCTGTCCAGGGGCTCTTGATGGGCAATACTGTTTCTTCTGACGGTTCTTTATCTTTACGATGGAATTGGATAGGGTGCCTTCAAACTGCGGACTGTCCCCTTTAAAGGAAGACACATCCCCCATGGGGTAGTGGGCTGTCTGCTGCTTCCCTCTACAGGGACCCATGTGTAGCTGCGGGGCTCTGGGAAGGACGTCACAGAGCCAGGGACGAGGTTGAAGGTATCAGAGGAGCAGGGCGTGGGAGCCGGATGCCCATGCCAAGGCCCTCTGGGGCCGACACAGCACCCTCTCTTCTTATTTTTAAAGCGTATTATCATTAATTTGTTATTTCTTCATTTATCTTCTATACTGTCCAATAGCCAAAGCTCTCTGGGCAGTTTGCAGCTATCCAGATTGGCTTGTGAGAGTGCTCGTTTTATTGGCACCTGCAGCATTCATTTCCAAAGCAGCATAGTGCTTATTCCTGAGTGAATGTATTTAGCATCAAGGCAGCAGAAGCAAACTCCCGTTTGTTCTTGCAGTCCTGATGGTGCTGCAGTTTAAAATGTGAACCTGGACACACGGCCGTCTTCATGCATGGGCCTGATGGGCACTTGCCCGTGGGCCCCATACTAACCTGTGTATGTCAACCCTTGGAAAATGGGGAAACTTCCCAAATTAACAGTAGTTGTAGTTGTCGCAGGGGCCCCGGTACACTGCTTTGCCCGGGGCCCATAATGCGGTTAAGGCGGCCCTGCCTGGACACTGTTAGATTCTTATTTTTACGTGGGACAGGCATAGGAGGTTTTTCCCCTCGGACATATCAGAAATGTGGCCGCAGTGGCAAACAGGGATATAAGGATGGATGGGAAGGAGAGCTTTATTTATTTATTTATTTATTTATTTAAACACTTTTATCCCGCCCCATTCGCCGAAGCCTCGGGGCGGCTTACAACAATAAGTTAAAAAATGATTATAACATTAAATTAAAAAATATAAACATTAAGTTAAAAATACAAAAATACCAATATAAAATAAGCCGCCCTGGCCAGATAAAATCAATAATATTAACAATTAAAATGCCGCTTAAATAAAAAGGTCTTCGCCTGGCACCGAAAAACAAATAACGACGGCGCCAGGCGGACCTCACACCTGCATTAGTATATAGGGCTGCCTAGAGGGAATCCTCTCTCACACAAACATGCATCGAGACATGTAGGATGCAGCCCCATGCATTTCTAGGTAGAAAACACGTCCTGCAGCTCCCCGGATTCCCCAGCCAGCCATGCTATTTTCTCTTTTGGCCCTCCCGAAGACTGGCTTTCCCACCACCAAGAGGCAGCTGGTGCATTTCTTTCCAAACCAGCTCTAAACGCAAAGGCTGCGGGGATTGGAAACTGGATTCTCAGCTCTGAGGCTTGTAAGGAGGAAATCCCAGTAGTGACGATACGAAGGCAAAGTACCAAGCAGTACAGTTTAATTCGTTCTTGCAAGAGCGGGCGCCCACCACACAGGCAGCGCGCTGTTTGCACACAAGACATTGCTTTTTATTCCCTTTTCCCGGCTCGCAGACCCTTCCTCTTTCCTCCCATTGGCTGGGTTACTAAGAAGTTACAATCTTCTCCGTCCACCTACATCATACTACTCCTTGATATGTTCCCCCTCCCGCTCATACATCCCATGTTCATGCTAATGAGCCCGTTACCTGTGAGAGGTGTGTCAGTTACTATTCATGAACCTATTAAGCATGTGCAGTACCTTTTAAAAGTTCAACAGGCCGGAGTGGCCTTGTAGATTCTTCCTTGATGCCAACTTGCTTCTTAAATCTTGTGGGAGGATGAGATTGGACGAACAGGCCTTCCTCCAGGCTCATTACGGCCGGTTGTAAAAGGTAATCAATTTCCTGCTCTCTTCCACTGAAGGTGACAGTTTTACCACTGCCCCCCCCCTCAATTTTTACCCTCTCTGGTATTTTTCAGGACTTTGATGTAAGAAGCACTATTACTTTTAGTACAACTATTTACATGATTCTATCCTCAGGCCTTTTGGCCTTAAGAGACTTCAATGATCCTACCCTAGCCCTGTATTTCCAGGGCTTTTTTTTTTGTCATAAAACGCACCGGAACAGCATTCCAGCACCTTTTTTTGACGGATTTTTCCAAGTGCTTGTGAATTGCCCTGTTGGGCATAGCAGGTCGGCGGCAAAAATCATTAAAATGGTGCCTGCGGGCTGATTGTGAGGGTGCTGCTCGGCTTGGGATGCTGCTCGGCTTGGGATCGGTCGTGTGGTTGCGCACTGAGTGCTTACTGCCGGCAGCGACCATTATGTTTGTGTGTGTGCAGAGTGACTGGCTAAGTGCAAAAGGTAAATAAATTCTTTATTTCAAAAAAAGTTGGTGAATTGAAAATCTTTTTTAGTGTAAAAGTGTGACCCCAAGACGTGAGTTCCAGCACCGTTTGTTTGTTTGTTTGTTTGTTACAAAAAAAGCACTGTGTATTTCACCCTTTCTTTGGTTTTCACCTTGCCACTTAGTAACAGTAACATTTCATTTCTCAAAGGTTGGAGCTCTGCTTCCAACCTCAGATCTGGGAGTCTGAAATATCCAATGTGTCCTCATACAATTTCTAAGGACCATAAGGCTGTTCCACAAATTAATAAACGCCTTGTTTCAAAACAGTTATGCTTAACCTCCATTGCAAACAATGCTATTTAAGATAATAATAACATGTTCTGTTGACTCCAGCTGTGTGTGGGACAGTTCCTGTCACATAAACAATGGCTTCTCTTGGAAAAGGCCTGGTTTTGTGGAATATATATTTAAAAAAATAAGGGAAAAGTCTGTTTTCACAAACCTCAGAAATGGGTTTCCATTGTGACTTTGAATATTCTTTTGAGAATAATAGCAACATGTTCACATCGTGTTTCCTGCTAGGAAAAAAAATCCCCTCAGACCCTCATTAAATTTCAGGAAAGTCCTCCAAGCTTTGCCCTTGCAGGATCGCATTTTAAACACGTTGTGCAAGCTTAACAGTTTGGCCAGTAGATGTCGCTGCCACTTTTGCAGAATGCCCGGTTCTCCTTGCCTCTAAAATGTTTAGCTCCAGCCACCAGATTTGGGAGAGGTGATTCATTGAAGGATCTGATTTTACCAGCTCCCATGGTATAAAGCAAAAAACAAAACGGTCCCATATTTGTACTGAATTTCCCTCCCACCCCTACTGTCCATGGTTGTCACTTTGTTCCCAACGTGGCTCCAGTAAGTGCCACTTTCAGAAGGAGGGTTTCCATTTTGACTGGTACTTTGTGTCTGAGCATTGGCTAATGCAGTCCACATTTGGGGTGCTGAACAGGACTGGGGCCCAACCAAGGGTCCTGTGCCCCCTCCTACCCAGCTCTTTATTCTAGGGCTGCCTATGGCCCAGCCCTTTAAGTCAGTGGGCACAGCTGACATGCTAAAAATGTGATGTGGGTACTTTCACAAAATGGCTGCCCCCATGGATGAGGCTTGTTTGTTCATAAAATGGTTTCCGTCATGGGCGTCACCAGGCACAAAAACCTAATTTCCCAGAAGGCAACTGGTAATACTAAAGTAAGAGCACCATCCTGTGTATATTATGGCATCCTACTATCCCAGCATGCCTTACCATGACATGTGGGCTGGGGCATGCTGGGAGTTGCAGGACTCTTTTCCTACTGAAACCTGCATAGGATCAGACCCTTGCTTGCCTGCCCCATAATCTTATGTGCAAGGCAGAGGTAGATTCAGAGTTACAAAGAAGAAACCTATTCATGACAATCCAAATCAGGATGATGGCAGACTTTCTCAACTTTTAAAAACTATTTTAAGAAATATGCATCAGGAGGTGCAGGGAACTGGACAGGCACCAAGAGAGGAGTCCCCAGTGCTCCATATTGTTAACTTAACATTTTTATATCCCAGTGTGGTGTAGTGGTTAAGAGCACGGGACTGGGACTCAGGCGATCTGGGTTCTAGTCCCCGCTCAGCCATGGAGCCAACTGGGTGACTTTGGGCCAGTCACAGACTCTCAGCCCAGCCTACCTCACAGGGTTGTTCTTGTGGGGATAAGATGGAGGAGGAGAGATGATGTAAGCTGCCTTGAGCCCTTTGTAGGCAAAAGGCAGGATATAAATCAAAAAATAAATGAATAAATATCCCACCTTTCTCCCATAGTGGAGCTCGAAATAGCTACATGCGATTTCCAGGTGGTCTCCCCTCCAAGCTCTGACTAGCCCCAGACTTGCTTAAGCTACATGGTGGGTGCCTTAAGTGCCTTCAGACCATACTTATACAATAAATCTTTTCTGATGCATGGCAGTTTACAAAAATTCATGTTTTCCCTCAAGGGTCTGTATTTTCTTGTCACTGTGTTCACACAGACCTGTTGGGAAAATCCAGATAAATCCTGGTAGAAAAAGGTAGCTTATATGTGCCTTTGTGTTATGAAATGCACCCCTTCCTCAGAAAGCAACAGAATTCCAAGCCAGGTTACTGTTTAGAATTTGCTGTTGCTTTAAGAAATGGGAACTTGCCTGAGAAGCTGCCAGGGCTATTCTTTTTGCTGATCATTAAGAACTGATGAGGGTGCTGGGTTAACAGCATTGCAATCACCCTAATTAGCTTGACCAAACTCAAAATACTGGCTGGCAATGACTCCCGATTGTTACACAATCTCCTGTAATCAGTGGCACTGTACTGAGCCCCCTCTGCAGACCTCTCACCTTCTTCTGACTGTGTTCCCCTTATTTTGTCATCCACTGCCCAGCTGCTGGGCCCATGTGACTCAGAATCTATAAAACACTCTGTGCATGTTCTAAAAGCTTGTAGTTGGTGGTGAGATCCACTACCTGGTAGCATGCTGCCGTAAGTAACGGCAGGGGGCCTGGGTGATCTTTCAATAAACAGCTGAGGTTCAAGGTGAAAGGGGACTTTCCTGACTGAACCCGGGTATCCTGTCTCACGGCTGCTATTGAGGTGCCCCGACAGACCCTAACTGTACCCTTTATTCACCCCAGTCTTGAGTGTTACACCTTAAAGATGACAGATCAGTATATCTAAATTCTGTTTTCATTCCTTTTTAAAATCCCTCAACCTCCCTTAATCCAAAACAGATTCTAGGCACTATACAGGACATAAGTATTCAAGGGTACTTATGCAACGAGATAAAAACAATTTAAAAATGTCTGTTTATTTTATTTATTGACAAAGAAAACAAAAACTATTTGCATTCCTTAAAATCCTCTTTGGTGGTGTGGCAGAGCACAAATGTTTGCCCCCATGAGAGATTCTTCAATGCTGTAGAAGATGAAACCAGTCTTAAAATATCAAAGTTGTTGCTATGCGAAGGGGCAGATGACCATTTGCTAAATATATCCCACAAAACATTCCAGAATGTGAGGTCACAGTTTGCTGTAACCACTTGCCAGATTTCCTCTCCCTCTTGTTTGAGAAGGACAATGTTAAAAAGGAAGCACACGACGGCAGATCAATGTTGATGGAATTAATACTTCATGACGGATGGTGAAAATGAGGCAAGCCACTAAATTAAGGGGCTGTCATGCAGAGAGCGTTGGACTGGATGGCCAGGACTAAGTTATGTCCGAGGACTGTGTTGGTGGCAGCTGGCAAGAGTGACACAGATCTGTGGGAAAGAACTGGAGCGAAATAAGGAAGAAGGACAAAGAGGCAAAGTGAGAGAGAGAAGACAAGCCTTCAACTGGAACAGGTGCAGAAAAGGCCACAAGCCAGACTTGGCAGGGAGTTCAGGATGGGCATCAAGGGAGGCATGGTCGGGTACCTGCTAAGGACCAACACCCCACCAGGGGTTCACGGGCAACCACCTCTGGGTTTAGTCTTTCTCCTCAACTAAGATGACTTGGGGAAAAATAATAAATATGACTATATCAGATGAGTCATGGGCTAGAATATGGTCCTCAGAACTCTACAACTCAGTAGAAGGTAGATCCAAAGAAACGGGTTTAAAGACAGTTCATAGATGGCATTTATGCCCTATAAAATTACATACAATTAATAACCAGTGACCAGTATGTGCTGGAGAAACTGTGGTTCAAAGGGTTCACTTGAACATATGTGGCTATTTTATCCCAAAATCAAAGCCTATTGGCATGAAGTAATAGAATAGTTGAATAAGCTCATATGACAAACATTAAGAACCTTTGTCATTGTTTACTGGGGAAAATGAAGAATGAATTGTAAAAAACTGTTGGCAATACTTCTGGGAGCTGGGAGAGCCCACACTGCAAGGTTTTGGAAAGATTCCCAAGGGCTCCCTTTTAGAAAATACCTAGATAGGATACAGTCAGTGGTGTGGATGGAAAAGCTCACCAGCCGTTTTTGTTTGGCTAGAGGGGAAATAGAAATGATTTTATTGGAATCTGGTACCCCTTCTTGATGTATTTCTGAAGGTTGGATGGAGTGGATGGACCTCCACTGGATCACCTTGATTTCTGGTCTAGTAGGTTTTCATAGGCTAGTTAAGAACTGAGTATATTAACTGTATCATTGTGGATATTAATAATGAGATTGTATTTGTTATATATTGCAAAAACACACATGCAAAGACACATCCCTGAGCTTATTCCTTCTCCTCACCATCACAACCCTCCAGCTTGCACGGTCTGCTTAAGGGTGCCCAGGTAAGTGGCCTTTGTTCGGTGCCTGTTCAGGTCCCAGGCTTTGTGTGTGTGTGTATTGAGAATCTCTGAGTCCTGCCAAGTTCTGTTGTATATTTTACTGTTATATGTTTTTAACTTGCTCCTTACTCGTTTGCCACACCAAGAGCCCTGCAGGTCTGTGGGGCAGTATAAAAATGCAATCAATTAATTCATAAACAAATAAACCTGCTTGTTCACCTGCCTCTCCTTCTGACCCAGACCATGGTGGTGGTGAGAAGGAGCTAGAGGTACCGCTGTGGACTCACTCACTGCCTGTGCGTTTGTCATGTGCACCAGCGGGAGCCATGCTGAGAAGAGCGAAAGTGGCTGTCCCCCTGGAGGAGAGAAGCTGACTCCCTGGTGGGGCAGTTCCATGGTGGCAGTCTTGCTGAAGCATCCTCAAAAATCTGGAGCCAGCCTTGAAGCAGCTGCTTCCTGGTGACTAGGAGAGGCCTGCCTGGGAAACAAAACTTCAGAGCAGCTGGAATTTTATGTACTAGCTGGGTTTGCCAGCTATTTATCACTGGATGGAGGCTCTGCACAAGATCTAGTCCAACCCCCTTCTGAATGTGGGAAGTTGAGAGCTAGAGCACTCTGAACAAGATGCCAGACCATCTTGAAGTCTTCCAGCCATGGAAAGCCCACCATCAATCTAGGTCTCTGGTTCCATTGCCGAGACGATCTCACTTTCAAGATGCTTCTTCTGGTGTTCAGCTCAGGAATCCAGAACTTCTTGCCGCTGGGCACCAAACTCCCTTTTGGAAAAGCTCCCAAGAGCTGCATTCCAGAGGTGGGCAAGTCTGAAGGCCAAAGGGACAGGGCAAGGGGACAAAGGGGCCGCGATGTTCTGGCATGCATCTCCTCCTCCCAGTGACTCAGCCTCAGGCAAGGCAAAGGGGTGGTATGGAAACCAAATAAATAATCAACACATGGAGGAGGGGAGATGTCATGAAAGCTGGAAAAGCCCCTTGGGAGAAAAGGGCATGACTTTCCGGAGGATCCCAACGGGCCAGACCAGGTTCCACACAGAACTGGATTTGGTTCCCAAGCCTGAAGTTCTGCAACCCGGGTTCGAGCAAGATTTGGGGAAAAACAGCATTGCCAGAGCACGAAGCATCCTTTCTTTTAAATGTGATGCACGTGGGTGCGCAATTGAATCCAGATAAAACATTACCTGGATGCAGAAATGTTGGAACTGAAGTTGTTATACTTTGGGCACGTCCCAAGAAGGCGAGACTCCCTGGAGAAGGCCATCATGCGGGGGACAGCGGAAGGCAGAAGAAAAAAGGAAGGCCAACTAGGAGATGGATCGATTCCATCCAGGAAGCCACAGCCTCGCGATTGCAAGAGCTGAGCAGGCTGTCAAGGACGGGGCATTTTGGAGGGTGCTCCTTCATAGGGTTGCCAGAAGTCAGAGACAACTGGACAGCATGGACCATGTGCTGTAGCTAGCAACATCTTAGAAGAAATGTCTCCGTGTGTGACAGAGTAGAAAGCCTCTCTTGAGATGGTGCTTTCCACCTGTAGTTTTTATAAGCACTGGCATATAAAATAATATATCCAGAGGGTGCCAAAAATGTATACACATTTTAAGAAAGGAAAAAAGTGTATTAAAAACGGGTGCATGGTGACACTAACGTTCATTTGATTAACACCCTCTTTTGAGTGAACGTCATATGACACTTTACTACCGTAATTCAATTCAGCTTTGAAAAGTAATACATAGATAACATCCCTTAAAATGTGTATACATTTTTGGCACGCCTGTATTTCTAAAGCATTCTTTTAAAAAATGCAGCCTGCTTAATCAGATCACTCTTTTAGCCAACTTTTCCCCAGCTGATCTAACCAATTAATAATTCAAACACTCCAGCCTTAATATTAATGGATAATTTGATTTGTTGCACGTTCATTTCCTGTTATTCATAGTACCTTGGGGGAACTGCTATGGAGCTGAAATGTAATGGTTTTGACTAAGACCACCTAATGCGCTTGCAGCAAAGTCAAAATTGAAATTTGGGGCTCCCTAATTCATAGCTGCTTCTGAGCCTTTAAGAACAAGGGCTCGTGGTGTATTATACTGGATGGTCTTCCAGGCAGGCTTTTTGGATCAAGCTTGTGTTGGGAAAATTCAGAGAAATTCTGGCAGAAAATGGTTGCTTTTATGTGCCTTCACGTTATAAAATCAAACCTGCACCCCTTTCTCAGAAAGCAGCAGAATTCTAAGCCAGGTTACTGTTTAGCATTGCTGTTGCCTTAAGAAGATGGCATTCTTAGCTGGACTGAGAAGCTGCTGGAGGCTAACACTAATAGTGAGGAAATACTCACTGATGTTCTCATCAGCTGCAGAAAAACTGAACCAATGGTGTCCATTTGTTTCTGAACGGACTCACTGGAGCATCTAGTCCCACAGAGGCAAGCACCCAGTGAGTGTAGCTGTCAAACCAGGTTTCCTGAATGGTTCCTCCATCAGACACATTTGCATGTTTAAACAGGATCCAAACTGCAAAGAGGTCTACTCAGTTGACAGGTCCATACAGCAATCAGTAATGTTTTCCATACTATTGTTACCAGTATCAGTTTAGAGCAGGGGTCCTCAAACTTTCTAAACTGGGGGCCAGTTCACTGTCCCTCAGACTGTTGGGGTGTGTGGTGGGGCAGACTATAGTTTGAAAAGAATATGAAGGAATTCCTATGCACACTGCACATTAAAATTAATTAAAATCAAAATAAAATTTAAAAATAATTTAAAAATTTTAAAAAAATTGCCCCGTTTCCTCGGGCTGCCCCAGTGGAGGTGGGGGAGAGCATGTCCATATTCAAGGGACAGAGCTACAACACAACCAAGGCACTAGATATAGGATTTTGCATAATGCAGCTGATGACTGCAACTGGCATTCACAAAGAATAAAGCAAAAATACTAAGGATAAATACTATTAATGCCACTCTTAGTATTTGAAGCAAGTCAGCCCAGAACAATTCCCACAATATACAATGGCTGTATTTGGATGCAGCGCTAATGACTACCATATTTTAACTGCAACCTTGCCAAAACTGGTACTGTCCAGATGAGTTGGACTACAATTTCCATTGGCCATGCTGGTTGGGCATGATGGGACTTACAGTCCTCACCACTGCCCTGCTTCCAAGGGAGCAGGAGGCCGGGGAGGAGAGCGGGGGCGGCTCCCCTGGTCAGGAGAGGGCTGCACGGAGGAAGATAAGGGCGGCTTCCGAGGGGAGGGGAGGCAAGGGACAGGGCCGCGGCTGGCCGAGCGGGGTGCCTCCCGCCTCTCCCTGCCGTGGGGGAAAGCATGGCAGCTGTTCGACGGTGGAGGCTTGCTCAGAGAAGGCCGCAGCGGAGGTGTGGGAGCCGTGGCCCCGCTCCACCTCAGCCTGTCCACCCCCAGGCTCAGCGAGGCGGCCACGGCTTGGCCTGCAGCCTGGGGACGTGGCTCACATAATTAAAAATAGATTTGAAAAGTTATATTTTTCTTACCTTCAATCCTTTTTAGTGTCTTCATCTCTCTCTCTCTTCTGCCTTCCTCTCTTGTGTTTCCTGCTCCATATTCCCACTCTGTATATGTGTGCAATGGGGGCGGGGGGAGCTGGCGCCCGCGCAGTTGAGCTGCTACAATTTGGCACATGCGCCAGCTCTCTGCTCAGTTTCAGAGAATGCCTGCGCCGGCTCAGAGCTTTCCTACTTGCTTGGAGATCGTTTTCTCCAAACAAGTCCAAAAGCTCTGAGGCGGGCCGTATCTGGCCCACGGGCTTTAGTTTGACGACCCATGGTTTAGAACATCATGTCATGCCTAAAGACGTCAGGATGCTATTGTACTAAGATTAACACTCTGTATTGGTGTATGCAGGGCTTTTTTTGTCATAGAACTCACCGGAACACCGGAACCCTTTTTTCAATGGATTTTATGACGTGATTTTGACGCAGCAGATCAGCAGCAAACATCATTAACATGGTGCCTGCAGGCTGTTATTGTGTCTGCGATCTGCTATCTGATTGTGAGAGACAGCTGCTCCGGACGCTGCTTCGCTGCTCAGCTTGGGATTGGTGTGTGTGCTTACTGTCAGCGGCGATGTGAGTTCTGGCACCCTTTTTTTTTACAAAAAAAGCGCCGGGTGTATGTGACTACCAGGTTATAAAAGTGTCTGTAGATGGGCTGTGATTATGTAGTTGGCAGTGAGAACCACGACCCAGTAGCATGCAGTCGTAAGTAACTGCAGGGGTCCTGGGTGATCTTTCAATAAAACTGCCGAGGTTCAAGGCGAAAGGGGCCTTTCCTGACTGAAGCTGGTTCTCTTTGCCGTGGCTGCCACGGAGGCTCCCTGGCACTCGCAAGTGTGCCAAGGGAAAAGGTGGACCTTCCGCTATAAACATTGCGTTGCGCCTGCACAGCCAGTCAGCTGGTGCAAGGGAGGAAGGAGCAGGATGAATTGCAAATAGCCTCGCCTCCAGCAAGCGAAGCCAACTTTGCCCTTTCTGCCTCCACCTTGTCCCATCCGGATGTCACATAATTCCAGTGCATTCTGGGAGGAAACAATGTCAACCGCCTCTACTAAAGGCGCTCCTGCCTCACCAAATAAACGCCAAAGGTAGGTCCCTTCAAACCCTTTCAGGCAATCCCCCCTGAAATGGGGAAAATGGGTCCCCCATCCCTCTGAGCCAAAGACTGAGCATTTGAACCCTCAGTTCAGCTTTAGCAGAAGATTGTTTGGTACTAGCCAACCAAAGTGCTTTAAGCTCTCTGGCCCCTGGCTATCAAAACAGCCGGCACCACGTTTTCTGCCTAGCTTGAGAAAGCAGTTGGGGCCCACAGTGTGAATACCCCAACGTTCCCATAGCATGTGATGGGGCTTAACCCCAGAAGGCCTCCATTGCTGGCTCCCCGTTCCTCTCCCTGAGGTTTTAATGAGCAGTACAGGGACTCTGCAGTTTGATCTGGCATGGCCGCATTTCAGTGTTGCCTGTAAAGGAGACAAGACAAGAAACCGCAAAAGCAGTATTATGCCCACTAAATTGGAGCAAACACTGTGATCTCATCTATTTTATTCTGCTGGCAGATTCTGCATTTCTTGGATGCAGCATCTGGAGACTGCCCCTCCTCTGCACACATGCAGAATCCACATAGCACTAAATAATATTGATTTTTCATGGCAGTCCAGTTTTTCCAGATGGAAGTGCATCAAAAGCTGCCATTTTTGTACTCCTACCAAGGGGCGTGTCAAGGCCTGTTTTCCCCTATGGAAGGGGACGGGACGTGTTCCAATGGAGCAAAACCTGGGGAACCAAGGTTCAATTTGGATGCCAGGAGGTACTCCCTGACAGTCAGGACCCCAAGGGCGTGGAATGGGCTTCCACGAGAGGTCGTTGAGGCCCCATCGATGTGGGTGTTCAAGGATAGGCTGGACGTGCACATGGTGGGCATGTCGTGAGCGGAGCCGGCTGGAGCTGGGGTCAGACTAGATGGCCTGGGAGACCCCTTCTGACTTGCTATGTTTCTAGGTTTCTCTGCTTCTAGGGCAAGGAAACCCTGGGAGCAAGAAGGTGGAACCCGGACTGAAAGTTGGTTCAGGAGAGGAAGGCACAGACGGGGGTCCTTCTGCTGCTTTTTGTACACTGTGTTGAAGTCAAAGCCAGGCACATCACTGGAATGAGAGGGAGAATGCCAAGCTGCAGTTCCATCCCAGGACAAACGCAACAGCTGCAAGACCTGGAGATTCACCAAATCTTTTACAGGAAACCAGATGCCTTTGAAAATGTGCGGCCATGAAAAGAGGCATTGAATGGAAAAGCGACTTGTCTGAGAAACTGACATCAGTAACGACTTGTTTCCCCTGGGATGTTTAGTAAGCATGCAATCTTATACATGTCTACTCAGTTACAAATCCTGCTGAATTCAATGGGATTTACTCTCCAGAAGGGTGTATAAGATTGCAGTAAAGGGCACGCTGGTATTCTCTCTGCCTCTACCTCTTCCCAGCAGAAAGAATCACACTGGCCTGCCTTACAGAGCAATCACACAGATGCCTATGCTCATGCAAATGAAGTGCTCTGAATGCGCTGACAAGCTCCATGGAAAGGGCTCCTTGCACATTATGCGCAGCAGTGCGCAATGCAGCTCAGGGGCTGCTGTGCTTAGAAATGCGGCTTTGGCAGCAGGTGACTGAGGCTGAAGAGCAGCCACGGACGGGGGTGCGGGCTGTTCCATGGCCCTTTCCTGCAGGACCGGAAAGGGTTCAGCCTCACATTCATCATGCGAATGCATATGTGGCATGAGGACTCCTCATCCATTGCAGCTTTTATTTTGAGCCTTACAGGAGTTACCCATGGTGGCCAACCTATTTGGGAGAGGGATTTTAGCACCCACAAAGTTCAAACGGACTGCAGTGAACGAGGAGCCCCACTAATGTAGGAGTCCTTGGTCTCCTCTGCTTGCAGGCAAGGGTTATTTATTTATTTAAAACTTTGATATGCCGTCCCTTATGCATGGCATTTCAGGACAGCTTACAGGCATTAAAATCAAGTACACTAAAACAATCTCTAACAATAATAAATAACATACAGCAAATAAAAATAAATTAAGTAAAAAGTGACTGTACATTAAAATACTAACTTTTAAAATAATGGTTAAATAAAAAGGTTTTTACCTGGCACCGAAAAGAGTATAAGCTCAGTGCCAGGCAAACCTCTCTGGGGAGTGCACCCCATAATCTGAGAGAAGGCCCTACTCCAAGTAGATGTCTTTTTTACCTCCTTCAGGGAGGGTTCTTGGAGCAGGGCCTCTCTAGCTGATCTTAAGGGGCATGAGAGCATATAAGGAAGGAGACATCCCTGCAGGTATCCTGGTCCCAAGCCGTTAGGGGCTTTATAGGTCAAAACCAGCACCTTGAAATGGGCCCAGACTTCAACTGGAAGCCAGTGGAGCTGGTAGAGGACCAGCATTGTATGAGAATAACGACCGGTCCCCATCAGCATCCTGGCCGCTCTATTCTGTACCCACTGAAGTATCTGGACCATTTTCGAGGGCAGCCCCATATAGAGCACTTTACAGCAATCCAACTGGGAGGTTACCAGAGCATGAATCACCATTGCTAAGCAGTGTTTGTCCAGATAAGGACGCAGATAAATATTGATTATTCATCTCGTTCCCATGCCACCCAATGGCCAGTGCACTCTGGGTGGTTCACAATTCCAAATCGCCCAAATCTAGGCTTCGGTCACAGCTTGTTTGTCCGTATCAGCGATGGTGTTATTTTGGATAGGCGGCACTACGAACACCTGCCCATTCATTGCCAGCTGGCCGTGGGATGCTCGGTGTTGTAGCCCGCCATATCCAGAGGGCACCAGATTGAGGAAGGCTGGATTGGCTCATTAGTAGCTTTTCATCCCTGCTTCTTTTTGTAGCCACCATGGTGTGGCAGTTTATTTATTTTATTTATTAATTAAAACATTTTTATGCCGCCCCATTCGCCGAAGCCTTGGGGTGGCTTACAACAAATAAGTTAAATCATCATAACATTTTAAAATATATACATTAAAATAAATTACAAATATACAATATAAAATAAGCCGCCCTGGCCAGTTGAGAACGTAAGCCAGAGGACCTGGGATTCTAGTCCCCACTCAGCTATGAAGCTCTCTAGGAGACTTGGGCCAGCCACAGGCTCCCAGCCCGACCTACATCACAGGGTTGTTGTGTGGATGACATGGAGCTAAGCCAGCCACTTGGGGATCCTCACGAGAGGCAATGGAACTTGGGTGCTGCATGTGCTTCGTCCCGACATCAGATTCTTACCTTCCCTGGGGGTGGGCAGAAAGTACATCTTTGTACAAGCTTTGGACGTCAGCTCCCAACAAAATGGTGCCCATTCCCATTCCACGCACTGACAGTCGACTCCTTCCTCAATGCTGGTAATGGGGCAGCATCTTCTACCACACCTGTAGGCATCTGGCAAGCGTCAGGGATGCTCGGAAAAATTGCTTGAGACCAACCAAGGCAGTGCTTTATAGGGTTTGGGGGTTTTTGGTATCTTGTGTATTTGATTAATTGTTGCTTCCCTGATGATTTTGCTAAATTTCTTACGGTGCATTCCAATGTCAGTGTGTATATACTTTTAGGTAAATGGAGGCGCACAGTGGGTCGCAGACCTTTTTCTAGCTGAACACGCATCCTTAGCATTTCTCGATACCGGGGACCATACCGTTCTTCTGAGCCAGTTGCAGCACCTCTTGCCGAACTCTCTAGTGGTTTTGTTCCTGTTGCCTAAACATCCCAAGAAGGCGGCCGCCAGGGATGTTGGCTCCCACCTGGGAACTGGTCTGTGCGATTCCATGGGATTTGGTTGATCACAGAGGTTATTATATTATTATTATTATTATTATTATTATTATTACATTTCTATGCCGCCCCTTGCCGAAACCTCGGGGCAGCTTACAACACAATAAAATACATTGAAATACAATAGAACATAATAAATTACCATTAAATACAAAAATACAAAAAATACATTGAGTTACAAATATAAAATTAAAATTATCAGTATAAAATAAGTAAATAAAAATATAGGAGGAGAAAGAGAAGGAAGAAGAAGTTGCCCTGGCCAGATCATATGTTTTAACAATTAAAATGATGTTTAAATAAAAAGGTCTTTACCTGGCGCCGAAAAACCAGTGACGACGGTGCCAGGCGGACCTCTTTGGGGAGTGAATTCCATAGGTTGGGCGCCACCACAGAGAAAGCCCTCCTCCGGGTTATGAAGATCTAGCTTAATCCACCAAGTGAGATGGAGCTTCAGGGCCAGGGGTGATGAGCATCAGAAGCTCAGCTTTGATGCTCATTATCAAAATATCGCATAGTTTCTGTTGCTCGTCTAAATCAGTATTTAGTGACTGTGCTGAAAGTGGAGGCTGAATAGGTTCCAGGAACGGTGGAGATGACATCGCTGGAGAAATCTCAACTCCTGCAGGACCACCTTTCCTAAGCTGGCGCATTCCAGACGTGGTGGACCACAGCTCCCATCATTCCCAGCCAGCATGGCAAATAGCAATCCTGCCTGGGATGACAGGAACTGCAGTCA